TGGTCAGCAAAAGCCAAAACCTGATAAAGGCCACATCGTTTGCTTCTAAAAAAGCGCCGGCTTTTCTGAATAGCTGCATCAAGAAGCTGTTTGGTTGTGTTTAATAGCCTAGCTTTGAAATTGCTTTCTCACTGGCTGTATATGAACCACAGACACTTGCACTAGCCTGTTGAGGAGTCTGGTAGACAGTCCCAGTTAATTTCATGCTTCGTCGACTCTGTTGGTGGGATTTGTATTATTTTTAGACCGTGTTCTTGCCAATTTTCATAATTGCTAACGAGTCCTAAGGTGAGAGCATATGGGAAATTGTTTCAAATAAATTGGCTTTTAACATTATTTCTGTCAACCAGCTTTTCTGCAACTGAAAGATGCCGTTCAATTTTGTGGCTTAATATGCAGTAAACTCCTCCTGCTTTTAATCTTGGGCTTTGAATTTTGGGCGAAGAATCTTCGCACTCGAGATAACACCTCTATAAGAACACTCTTCATTTGTGTTCGAGACTTTTGGGTACGAGATCTTGTAGATTTAATCGCATTTTTTCATATCCTGGTGCTCATTAAGCTAGGCCGCATAAGTTGTTGAAAGTGAGAGACCACAAAATTTAAGGGCATCAAATCTCACCCACCCTAATGCATTATTGAGTGGTGCGTTTTTTCGGCAAAATTTTGCAACTTTAATTAGCTTTTGGCTCAGTATTGGTCCGGTCTATGTGCTCAGTATTTGCAGCCTAAGTAGTCCAGGTTTTATGTTGGTAATTTGTCAGAATTTCATCAGCATAGTTCATTTCTTTCTGCAGTAATATCTGCTTCAGTCGGCTAGTCGTTGAGGCATTATGTTGTCCCTCTAATAAGTGAGCGGTCGGAACTTCAACTTATGTGCAGTCTGACCTGCGCTTTATTATCTCATAGCGTCTATTCTTTGAGTTTTCGCGTGTGATCTGAAATTCCCCGACCTAAATCTGACACCTTCATATGGCGGTCTAGCCTAAGCATTGCAATGATCCTGCGGGCTCATTTGGCTGGGATAAAGTTTCTAAAAGTCCACCTACGCCAGGAGGGTTAAAGAGGAGCATTATAACAAAGAGGTTTAGTACTGAAAGTACTCATATTACCAGACAGCTGGGAGATAAAGCCACCATAATCTTAAAAGCAGCACCAAAGCTCTTCCCTAAGACGAACAGGTTAGAAAAGGTCGGCCGCAACTTCTGTACTCTACGATTGTCCAATGTCTGACTGACTATCGACAACAAATAAAAAATGATACCTTGCTAAATCAATGAGATACTTTCTACAACATAACTTTTAATGTCCGTCATCTATGCCAACTTGGTACACAGGTAATTCTTGCTATTCTCTTTTCAAGTTGATGCATGTTGTGTACAGGACCAAAGCGTGGTTATACATTTCAAAATGCTAAGGACGGCTTTTCCACTTTCACACTCGGTGTGTGTCCGGTGATTCAGAAGCAGTTACTAGTGGGAGTTGCACTCACTCTCAGAGCTGAACGTGCTTTGCTGGATCGGATTGGTCTTCTTTGTGTCGTCTGGTTTTCAAGCTTAATCAGGCTCAATGGCTTCCAGCATAGAAAAGCGGTGCCTATTTAGAGTGTCGGCTTATGGCCCAGCGGACTGTAGTTCTTACCCTGAGGAGGATAATTCCATCGAGATTTGTCTTGGATCATTCTTTAAGCAAGAAGCGCTGACATGATACTTGAAGGTGATATCAATGCTCAAACAGATTGTTTCAGCTCCTTGAAATCGCATCTGGGCTGTCAAATAAGATTCGCTGCTCGTCACACAGACAACGGAGAGTGACCCCTCCAGTTGTGTGCTGACCCTGAACTGTTTCTAGCTAGTAAGAACTTCCAGCACCATAGTTCTCATCGCGTTACCTGGTGGCCACCACCTGCGGAGATCCGAAATTCAGAAATGTAGTCCCTTTGTGGTCACTCAACCTGATTACGATCATGCCATGTTGGAAGCCCGCCCGAGAGTTAGTTGCCTCGCAAATCAGTTAGAAGCGTATCAATTCACCAAATCCGGAGGACCGCAACGGTTAATCAAAACCGGACTTAGCTAGAACTACTACAATCTGCAGTAAACTAACACTGTACGCGGAGCAAGGACCTGTAATAAGCATGGTAAATTGTAAAACCGTTTGTGTCAATGGCTTTTAAAGCTATCAGTCTGGTGTCTCCGAAACAATAAAAAGATGACCGCTATATATCTTACAGGTCTCTAGCCCTGAGTAATTTCAGGAAGTCTACATGAAAACGCACGCGACTCAATCTAACTCCAAATTATGAAGAGCCCAAGAAACAACCGAGAGCTTTGTTGTACAATGTAACCTCAGGAGATGGAAAATAGTTTTGCCATCAGAAGCGGCTGTACACCATACCATTTGTTAAGATTAGCTGCGAAAACAAAGCAAGATCAACGGAACGATGTGTGCAAATTGCCTCAATAATTCACTCGAACGTTTGGAGACATGGCGCGCATAAAGATGAAATTCAAGCATCACTTGCCCGTCACACAAAAAACTACAGCTCTAAATATCCTTTGTGAGACGCGACAGTGCATTTGAATTGGATAGTCTGTATCCAGTCGTGATCAAAGAAGACAAAAAAATCCCTGCACACTCAACTGAGAAGCATACTGGTGCGATATGAAGTTCCAGCAGACTGAGAAAAACCGGAATTCATTCTTGCCTTAGGGCAAAAGCACAAGAAGCTTTGTGAAAATCGGTGACATTAGCCTGGCCGCTTCAGCATGAAAGTTGTCCTATGGTGCCAAATTGATTGAAGACCGAGAGAGCCGTCACCGTAAACGCAAACGGGGTCCCGCCCTGCAAAAGGATGCATTGGCCATATTTCTACAAGTAGTACTTTTCGTAAGACGTGCTCAACTAGGCTAGCTGTAGATTGTTATGGAGCAAGATTGTACTAGTAATCTTCCAGTAGATTTTAAATTGCAACGCAATTTTTCGGAGATCCAATAATACTGGTGCAATATGTATTATCTTTGAAATTCTGAACAACCCCTGACTTTGTAGGAAATTTTGTAGTTTTTCTAAATTTCCACATATCTAAGGTAGGTAAGTCGGGCTACAAGTAAGCGAAGTGATTTGCAATTCGAAAGACGTGCAAATTGAGAAGAGCTGCTGGTGTAAAACGGTCAAGGACTATTATCAACCGGCTTCTTTCACAATCCGCACCAAACCATTCTCAGCCCGCCTAAGCTCACAATTCCTACCACTTTCTTTTTTTGCTAGAAGAGGTAGAAAGTCCGCAAGAAAAACGACCAATAGCAGTCAACTTCGATAAATGAGTGACAGATAACCAGACAGCCAGCCAGCGCTAGAAAACTTGGTCTAACGAGTTGGGTGGAGAGGCACAGTATGGAATTAAGCCCACATGACTGATGAAGAAAAACGCCAATAGCAGTCAACTTCGATAAATGAGTGACAGATAACCAGACAGCCAGCCAGCGCTAGAAAACTTGGTCTAACGAGTTGGGTGGAGAGGCACAGTATGGAATTAAGCCCACATGACTGATGTCCATTACATTCGATTTCAAACTAGTCACAAAAATCCACTCAAGGATTGTATGCCCACGCAGCAAGATTCCGTGTCTAAAGCCTAGTGATCTTCAGAATGTTGAACGTCACATTAATTTGACCAGCTAGCAGTATGATATGCATGCCGCGGAACTGTTATAAATTTTAGAAATGACTGTGGTCAAGGGAATGAGTGCAATCATACCTGCAGTTTTGTCAAACCGTGTAACGTTGTACGCCAACAAGGACACCCGGTTACATGATCGAAGTAAGCAGAAGAGACAGTCTATAACAGCCAGCCTTGAATCGCGTATCGAAGAACTAGAACCGATTTTTGCCCGGCTTATATAGACTGGACAGCCCTAAAATATTAAAATTCTTGCCCAATTATCCTTTGAAGTCGATTGATACTAGGGCAGTGTAAGGATCGCGATCCCAAAAGGAATAAGTAAATTTCACTGATTAGGCTAACACAGGACGAAGCATAATATCCTGTATACAAGGGCCAGGAGAAAAGAAACATGCTACCGGTGCGCAGTTTTTTGTTATCTTGGTGAAGCGTGAGAAATCAAGTGTCGACCTACATCTGTCGACCCGTATAACATGCTGACCATAAATAGACTGCTCGAGGATTCTCCGTTCCCAGTAAATGGTGGTTTAATTCGCTGTTCAGTGGCATCATTGAACCGCATCATTAGACGTAACGACCCAGTAAACACAGTGCCACCGATGGCTAACGGGGGCTAGCTTTGTCACTGATTCCGTTGGTGAATACAAGCCAAACATAGAATTTGTTGCACAAATGCCTTCTGAAAACAAATGCAACAGGATCCTCTGTATACTGGAGCTCTATTTGCGAATTAATTTTTGAAACCGATTTGTTTGAATGCACCACCGATTACATATATCATGAAATTTTTGGATTGGGCCGCTTTTGCCACCGGGGGGGCCCCCGTGACGTGTTTACTGGAAATTTTGCATAGCTAGAGTTTTCTCCCGGCTTACCTAAGGCAACCCACATTAAGTGATTCTAATGTCTAAAGGACACCACAAGCTGACCGTTTCCGCCAGTTATTTTAATACCCAGGTCACGTATAAAAAATTTAGTACACTACAGTTCATTCGGTGAAACTTGCAATCATTTCGTTGGTGTGGTAATACCCGGCCTGTCGATTTTATAAGCCACTCGTTATATGACTTGTTTACTACTCACATTCACCATGTACCTGTTCATATGAATGATATGTATGCCATCTGGTACATGGCGCCCGTCAACTTCCAGTGCCACGGTTTAGTCGCCCAAAACGTACCAATGCACGGTCTAACTGGAATCATAAACTGGCAGAGCTGGTAGTTCATCATTAATATAAGCTTGGTGCTTTGTAGCAGACGTTCAAAATATGAGGCCCTTTACATCAAAAAGTATACATAACTACTCGTCTTACCCTTCGTTTCTCCTTCCAAAACGAACTCAAACGCTTCAGGTCCCGGGATGTCTCCTGCAGTTCCTCCTTATGCAAGTCTACCTCGTATCTAATTTTTTTTATAACCGAAGAAGGTCTAGGATACCTGAGTAGTGTGTTCTTTTCTCTCAGTTTGTAATTGTCAACCAAAAGAATGAGAAACTTCTCTTTTAACTTTTGCATATCATCTCCGAGCTCGGATTCGATTATTTTCTGCAACTCCAATTTTGGTAGATGATGTTTCATTGTTCCTTCTTCTTCGTCTTCCTAGTCCATGGCTCTATTTATTGAAAAGTATTACTTCGTCGTTTCCTTCGGTTCTGCTCCATGATCTCATGTAAGCGTACAGATTGTCAGCGGTCCGTCGCAACTCTCGCTTGACTTTTTCCTGTAGATGAATGAGTATGTTTAGAAATAATGTTACATGTTGACTGTCGACCAAGCCACGCGACATCCTAAGACATTAATCTGATTTTAAAAAGTTCATAACGGCGCTATTTATGAACTAATTTGAAGGTCATGAAATTGGTTCAGCTTAGCTTTATTTTCAGGTCGTCGTTACAATGGTCATTAAGTTGCAGGTTCCATGATCAGCTCCGATTATCTCTGCGTAATGGGACAACGAGTAGAAATATTGCATGTGTATTTGTGGACGCTGGTTGCAAAGTGCAGCTCATGGTGCTGAATCTTCGCCGTCGTATGAAAACGGGCGTCCGCCCTTGGGTAGCTGTGAAACGAAGGGTATCCAGTGCCAGAATGGCTACAAAAAATTGATCCTAAATCCTGAAATATTAGACTGAAGAAGAAAATTTCAATTCAGCAGCAGGTGGTCAATGGATAAGGTACTCAAGCGCACACGATAAAGTCCAAAATCTCGTTCACCTAAATAACTATACTGCCTCGCTAGCTCCACCAATTCGGTCGCTGCACTTCGTGAAATTTCAGCAAAACCAACGCGTATTCTGAAGAGCAAGGACCAAGTCTGCGCAAAGTGTTTGATCGGGGGGCGAAAAATGGCTTTTAAAAGCAGAAGGAAAAGTCCGGTTTCTGAGATTCCGTCGTTTGATGGTGCTGATCTTCCCTCTCTTTAATACAGCCAGTGTAACTCCCAGCATCGAACAGAGGGTAGAATTCTAAGGTATTTGTGCGCACTTCAGGGTGGTCTTCGAGGCATGGTGCGTGGGCAGGACTTTGCTGGTTAAATGCGTAGCGTCCAATAGCGTCAACCTCAGGGCGTCATCCCCATTGACACTTCAGGGTGATCTGTGAGGCATGGTGCGTGAGCATGACTTTGCTGGTAAAATATGTAGCGTCCAATAGCGTAAACCTCAGGGGGTCATCGTGCTAACCCATTTGAATCACAGTAGACCTCAGCATCGCGAGTGCTATCCATTATGGTAATAACGCATATAACGCTGGAAAATGGCGATTGTAAACCTGGTCAAGGTCACTGAGCTGCCCCAGTAAATGTAGGGTCGTAGAGCAAATACCCTGGCGACTTTGCTAAACGCCTCTGATTTTAGGGGAGATGTGTGACCCATGCCCACAAATCCCACTTCCAATGAATCCTTTTCGCAGTAGGTGTTCTGATGTTATTTATCCCAGAACACAATGAGCTATTCATAAGGGAACGACGACTGACGTGTTTATATGCATTTCTGACGTCAAGATGGCACCGCTTCCCCTGTATGTTTTCTTCAGTGCATTCATTCTTCATTCAAGAGAGAAAAGTTGCGGGGTTTTAGAGGCCAAGCTAAAATCCTTATTGAGATGGTAACGCAATTGGCATTCAATCAA